TTCAACTTCTCTTAAAGAGTTCCCCATCCTTCCCAACAACTACCCTTAGTTATCTGAGGTGGATGCACACCTCTAAAAGCACTCATCTCTAATCCTCTTTGCTAAGATTGTATGAATCTTGGCCCTAGCTTCAACAGTTTGGTGTATTGAGATGTGAACATACCTCTGTTCAGTATTGAAGAGAGCAAAGATGTGCTTGCTGGACATGAACCCCTTCTCAACATCTCGTAGTTTCAGGTTGTCCACTGGCAACATGTACTTCTTCTCCTTCTCCTGAAAAGCAGATCAGTAACAAGTCACTCACTGCTCCAGTAAAGGCTCTGCTCAGTTGGGAAGGAGGAGGCTGTCGGCAAAGCAGCCCTCGTGGCACCAGGAGCACTGGGAGGTCCTGCCAACCCAGGTGGCACAGCACTCGGGTCTTCCTGCTCCACAGACTTTAATTCACCTCTTTAAGCTGGTTTTCATTTCATTTTGTCACTGTCCTACGCTCTAAAAGGGTTAACAGTAACCAGTAATGTTATATTTAAGAACAATATGCATCAAAAGATCAAGAGCAGGTCTGGTTACAATACAGGATACTGTACAACTACTCGGACGCTTCCTGGGTTGAAAAGAAGTCAAATAATTGCACTCAGTGAAAATCCCATGCACTAAATAACTGGAAGCTCAAGCAGCATGGGCCCTTTGCTGCTTGGCGACTGTCAGAAGTCACAGCCTAAAGTTCCAGTGATCGCCCTCAGGCAGCTTGGAGGAGCCCCATGAACACCACTGCGACCTTCCAAGCACAGCTGAGTATCTGCACCAAACCGACCCTACAGCTTTGGTCCCAGGTATCATCCTCGTAAGAAACTCCATCTTAGCTCCTGAACTAAGCATCAAAGCTAAGTCAGAAATCATTATTCCTGCTTAGTTTCACATCTGGTTCTACAGCAAATTAGCAGGTGTGAATTTGGGGTGAATCCCCATTTTGAACCTTTTCCAGCTGGATATTATACACCAAAATAACAAGAGAGGGAGCCATCACACTGGTCTCCAAGAGGCAGAACACAGCTATCCCAAGACCAGACAGAAAGAACATGCTTGTGTATGCAAGAATCCAAGTATGACTGCTTTCTTGTGAGCATCTCTGTCTGCAGATCTTCATTAATTAGGAAAAAAAAAAAACCTTTATGCAAAGTGAGAGCAAAAAGCAAGATGGTCAGTGAGCAGAGATCCCAAATATCCATAGAGAGGAGAGGGGCAGGGCAGAGCAGCAGATAAGGATGACAGAGTTGTTGAGCTCAGTCACCCACGGGAGAGCAAGACCAGCCCAATGTCCTCCAAAGTTACAGTTAAATCAGCTCAAGTTTAAGGACACCAGGCGTTACACAGCTTAGCAAAGTCCCAGAGATCAAATTGCTAACTGCTAGATTTATGCAACAGCAACATCCTTAGAAGTGGCATCCAGAAAACAGAAGAGAGAACTTGGGAAGCTGCCATATTCTGTGTTCTCTCCCCAAAAAGATAGTGATCTTTAAAGCAAGAAAGCTCTCCCAAGCAAGTTCCCCTGGAATTTTGAATGTTGCCAGGCTAGATCCTAGATAGGCAAGCATTTCTGTGATGTGTCAGCCAGGCGCTGCTCTCAGCCACGCAGCCACTCTGGGCTCTGTGAGCCACAAACAGCTTCCAGCTTTCTGCTGCTTTCAGTTACGGCTGCGCTGGGTCAGGCTGAACTAGTGACCCAGAAGTGAGGTACACCAACTGCTAACTCTGCAGGCAAGGCAGCCCATCCCTCTGTCTCACAGTGCCTCGGAGGCAGTAAAATGTGAAAGTTGCCTGAGAAAAATCATTCCGTGGTGTCAGAACCACAATGTTCCATGGAACATAGCAGCAATAAGGTCATTCTTCAGGGATGAAAGTCAAACAGTAAGGGAATCCCATGTCCCAGATACGGAAATGCACGCTCTCTGCCAGAGTTTCTACTTTCACCCCTTCTGCGCTGTTGTATAAATGCTGCCAAAGTGATCAAGACAGCACTATCTCTGCATGCTGCTCTTTCCACACACCAGAGGAAAGACCCATGTAACTGCCTGCCAGCAGAAAATCATAGCCCTCGGGCTCCAAGATAAAAAAAACACAACAATCAAACTTGAGGTCAGTGCTGCAAGGCAGCAACCCCCCAACCCACATATGCTGCGCGCAGTAACGAGCCCCTGCTGCTCTCCATCTCCCCACACCTCCTGTAAGTTCCCCCCTTAAGCCCTTCCAGCTTCTCAGTTTTCAGCCCAGCCTGTTTTATATCAACACTCTGACTTCATTTCCTGAATGCAGAGACAGGAAAGTGTGGAACGAGCTGCCAAGGGCTGAGCCTCTCAAAACTTTGGCTGAGCCCTCTGCCCATATGTTAGTAATCCTGCAGTATGTGCTACGGCTGAATAGCATCCTGGCCAAGAGGGGAAAAAGGGCTTCTCTTAAACTTTCAAGAATTAGAGATAGGGAGAGAAAAAGTCAGAGCGTATTGAAGTGGGAAAGATAGTTTGAGAATCACAGTGTTGGAAGCCCCCAGTCTGATCCCAGGAGGCTCGTAAGATCTTCCATCATCTGCAGGAAAAAAAAAAAAAAAGGATCAAACTCCCTCTCATCAGCATAATGTTGGTTCTGTAAGAAGTGCACGTGGTCTGCAAATGAACCTGTAGAGCCATGAGGCCAAAGAGGGGGCAGAAGGGGCAGAAGCACTGACTGACCATACGAGAAGGACCCTGGATGCTGTGTTGGCTATGGAACATTACAGACTTGGGGTTAAACTTCCCCTAATCTGTCTGCTGTGCCTAATCAAGTTACACCATTTGCAGGGAGATAACAGCAAACTACTTGCAGAAGCAGAGAACACAGCAAAGGATTACCCCTCAGCCCCAGCATGGTGCAGATACAGGTAGACACAGATGCAGCTCTGCACTTCACATCTACCAACACAGACAGAAGTGCACATTGTCAGGAGGGAGTTCAGGGGACATCAGCCATTCCCAGTTGTGGGCACAAGCCGCAGCAGCAGGCTGGGAGAGAAACGCTGCAGTTGCAACCTGACGATCTCACACAACTCCGCTTCAGCTTCAGCCAGAGGCAGAGATGGTTTATACAATTATCTGAATGTCTGTTGCTGTCCCGGCAGTTATAACCTCCAAGAAATCCAGAGAACTCAGTGGGCAGCAAGCCAGCCTGACTCAGAGCACTTCCTCCATTCAGCTGCACTGTCCCAACAGCGAGTTACGTTCTCCTGCTCTTAAATACATGTGAAGTAATGCTGGCAGATGCTTGTGTGGGCTCCCCTAAGGTTAGAAATTGGCACTCGCAGAATTATTAGGTCTCAGTTTGTGTTCAGAGAACATAAAGTAATTAAAGGTTTCCCTGTAGCTGTTATGACAAGCATCTCCTCTCGCAGTGAGATGCGGGTCTGTGGGGATGGGAGAAGGAGCACTGCTGTGTTTTGATTTGTGGCTGTGTGTAATGAGGGGCAATTCATCTTTCTTAAACTTCTTAATCTCCCTTTCATAAAAGGCAAAGCTTCGTATTGGGCAAACAAAAGATGGAGTAAGCAAAGCTGCCCCAGAGATGGCTGGGATTGCAGTGAAATCATTTATAATGCTTTGGGATCTCCTCAGTAATTCCCAAATGGAAAAACACCTCAGAATTGAGAGTAAACCTTCTTCATGGACACATACACAATATGTAGCTGTTAGGAAGAAGCCTCTGGAAACCAGACTGGGTTCTCTGGAAGCAAGTTGAGTGTTTCAAACTGAACTTGTTCTCCAGGAGAGAAGCACTCGCAAGCATTCATCTCATGTCTTATTTTCACAAGGAAAAGGCAGCTAGAAGAGCTGAATTCTCGAGCTGCAGCTCTTCCAGGAAGCCCCAGTGACCCTTCACTCACATCTCCATCAGTTTTGGAGAGCACAGCCCACCTGCATCACCCTTTGATCCTCAGAGCATAATTTTTACTGACATAAGTTACTGGACACTGATCACCACTCCAAGCTGCAAAGCAGCTGTAATGGCTTGTTTACAGAGGAAAGCTACATTGGTTTAACTTAAACAACACATCCTAAGATTTTAAGCTGATTTAGTTCAAAAGCTCTGCAGATGCTGGGCCTGGACTCGTGATTAATCACCATCATTACTGCTGGCTTAGTAAGCACAGCAATGGTAATCAGCTGCACACCCATTTCTCACCTGCTCACAAGAACAGTCAGATAGCAGCTGAACTCACATGCAGCTTAATGCAGGGCTGCTTGCACTGCTAGGAAGCCATCACTGCTCGTGTTAGCAGGTTAAGGACCAAAGGGGCCGTACCACCCCAAAGCCCCATCGTGACCTCAGCGAGTCACAGCGGTGCCATCGGCCTTCGCAAAGGGTGAGCGTGCACTTCTCCCAATGCCTGAGCACCAGGCAGAGCTGGAACATCCCTGGTGTCGAGCTGGTTGAGGAGCAGCACTGCACATGCGCAAAGCATCGCACACCTCCAGGAAAAGGAAAGGCTTGGCTACGTGCTTAGGGCCAAAGTGGGAGCTGTGGGTATTCGTATTTTTAGCCACAAATCATAAGTGTCCACCAGCGCGCACAGAAGAGAAGGCGACACTGGAAGGGAGACACGCGGCAAAAACAAAGACCTCTTTATGCCTGCGGCACCGGGGAGAGAGGGAGCAAACCGCATGGGTTAGGGAACATCTGGAATCACTACATGGGAGCCAAGCGCCGCAGAAAGCAACGGCATTCCTCAAGTTTCCATGCGAGGTAGGGAACCTTCCTTTCCCCCGCGCAACCCTACCCTCCAGCCGGCTCACTTCCTGCCAACCTCCGGCCTTCCCAGCAGCCAGCAAGCTCCTCCCTCGAGTCTAGTTAGCTCTCCACTGCCACGTCAATTGAGGCAGAAGGACAGAAGGGAAGCAAGAAGGGAGGGAGCAAAAACCAGAAGAGGGAGGGAGGGAGGCTCTGCAATGCCAGAGATGGTGGGGGGAAAAAAAGACGGGATGTGGATTGCTCCTGCAGTAGCCGGAGGCGAGCTGCGCAGGCAACTGGCCAAGGTGGGTCAAAGGACCCTTTTGAGGACTTGGAAGCAAAGGCCGATCTGGGTTGAGCTCTACTCCGCGCTCCAGGCAAAGGGCCGATCTACAGGACAAGCTGGGCAGGAGGAACTGAGGGTGCTTGGGGCCTGGGAATCCTCCCCACCCAACTCCACCAGCTGTTGTGCCAGATCTATCAAGGAGAAGAGGGGTTGAATGAAGCAACAAGTTCTGCACACCTGGGCGACAGCCAAAACTTCACATTTCCCCTTAGAATTGCAGTAATTGATCTATTTTTTCTCTTCTTTACAGGAAGGTGCAGAGCGCTCCAGGTGGAAACAAGGTACCAGCCTTTGGACACCAGCGCAGGAAGAAGGAGCTTGGAGGCTTGCTCCAAACTGGAAGCACACAGGGAACGAGATCTCTTCCCAGCTGCCAAAAGGAGGATGTTTCTTCCATCTGGACTTGGACATTCCTTCACCCCATCTCTGCCCCCAAAACCCCATCCCAAAGGCAGGGAGGGGAAGGACTAATGAGCTGCTGATAGCCGGAGAGCAGATCACAGAGGCTCCACTCCGTCTGCCCAGTGTTCAGACTACCTGTTCAGGACTACGAGATTGTACAGTAGTCTGCACATTGGTTAGGCTGTGCTGGGATACACCACACACTGCCAGTGCTGCACGGGGACGGCAACACCTGCACGGCAGAGGGACATGCATGGAGAGGGTGGGCTGCGGGGCAGCTGCATGCAGAGTTCACCCATCCCTCAGCCTGGGAGGATAACAGCACCCTTTGAAGCCGTGCTCGATCACTTCTACCTGCCTGCTTACCAGCCTGCTCACATTCTTCTTACTCTCTCTCCACCTCTCCTTCATTCCCTTCTCAGCCATCCATGCTTTCTTTCAGCTTTGTGTACTTGTCCCAGGGATGGCTGCGCTGATGGCTTGTTTCACGTGCTAAGCTTTGCCATAAAGTGCAGAGAGAAACAGGAGGGCCTGGTGGAGCTACAACTGCACTGCACTTTGCTACCTGAGAAGGCAGGATCGAGCAGAGAAAGGTGAATGGAGAGAGGGGAATTCACATCTTAAAGAATGCTGATGTTTAAAAAAAAAAAACAAACAAAAACCTAAAGGATTGAAAGTTGGAGGTTTGAGTGTTCTGGAAGTTGTGTTTGCTTTGATGTTTGTCTGGAAAATAAAAGAGAAATGGTGAGTGAAAGTATAAATGAGGACTGAGTAAGAGAAAAGAGTTTATCCAGGGGAAAACTCTTCTTTTGAAGAAAATAAGTGAATCAAAGAGCTCCACAGATGATGTAAAGATGTTTCACAGAGCAGCTAAGAATGATGTGAAAGCAGCAGAGGAAAAACCTCCGAGCAGACCTGCTTGTTAAACAAAATGGGTGCAAACACCAGGATGCAGCTGGACCAGAGGCACCACCTCACCACCAGTTTGAGGGAATCAGAGCAAAGAAAAGATTCCTACCAGCTAACCTGGGCATCAAGGACACAGACTGGTGGGGCAGAGGTGGGGCAGGCAGGGACTGCATGCATGTGCTGCAGGGGAACAACTTCACTATTGATTAATTATGTATTTTTTAAGTAGAATTGGGTACAAAACACCAAAAAACACAGGATAAGCAGCCAATGGCGGTCAGCAAGGTCACATTATTCCTAGAACAGGAGAGTACCTCTGTACTCCAACCAAAAGAAAGGCATTGAGAGCCCAAGCACAAGCAATGTGAGAGGAATCAACACGAGGTACAAAGAATCTGAAGCATCCTCACATATCCAACCTGAAACCACCAGGAACTCTGCACCCATACCTCCTGTACGCAGACAGGAATCAGAAGGCAGCTGCAGTGCCTGCAACACATGCTTGCACACAGCAAGTAAAGCCATGCTCTTCTCGTGTAGTCATCTATTATGCAAATCCCACATGTCCAGTGGGTGATTTACCTGAGGACAGAAGGTCTACCTGTATCACACGTTCACACAAATTGCCAGAGGAGCAGCAGATCTCTCCATCTGCACACGCACTCCTGTGGACGCTGACAGAGCAGGGAGTACAGGGGTCCCTCCAGCAGGCAGCAAGCTTTACTGACAGCAACACAGGGCTCACTGCATCCTGCCTGCCAGCCCCCCAGCACCACATGCTCTGGCCGTCCCTCTTTTGCATCCAGAGGGAAAGATGTGCAGAGAAGTGGGCACTGAGGATTCCACAGGGGATTCAGGCAGCACTATTTGAATCAAGTCCTTGTAGCATGTCTGCTACAACGCTTCCTGAGCAGCTGGACAGCATGCTGTGGTACTGCTCTGCTCCAGCACTGGGGACTCTGTGGCTTCCCTGAGCAAGGAAATGTTCTATATTGCCAGCAGCCACAGCAGGCTCCTCCCTGCCTCTCCCTCCCACACTGGCCTGCAGCCCCCAGCCCCTGGGAGGTGCAGGTACCACAGGGGGTCACCGGCTCTGGGGGAGGCCAGCTGCCCATGGGGCAGCTCTGCATAGGGCCCAGCATCTGCCTCCCTGAGAGGAGACAGGAAGAAAAACAGCTCGGGAGCGCGCGCGCGCACACACACACACACACACACACCACACCAATGCTTTGGCAGTATGGCAGAGTGGGGAGCCAACTTTCCACCCTCGTCTGGCCCCTCTTTCCTTCCCCTCCCATTCCCCAGCACACTCCTTCAAGGCCCCTCCAGAGCATCAGCAGCCATCTCCCCACTAACATGCAACGCTGGGCCCTTTAAGACATTTTAAGTTTCAATTCCTTTCTTCAGAGGCAGAGGAAAAACAAACCAGCTTTGCGGAAAGACTGGTATTTCACTAATGGGGTCCAGATGTCTCCATTCCTCAGACACTGGTCCTGGCTTGCAAAACAGGGCAGGGAGAGGCCACGTCCCCACTCCCCCCAGCTCCCTGCTAGCCGGGCCTTTCCCCTGACCCCACCACACCATGTCACCCCTCGCCTTCCCAGTCCACCTCCCACAACTCTGCCACCAGCAGGACAGAGCCAGCTCCCTCCTCATTTCCTCCAGCCAGCAGCCAGAGCACAAGGGAACAGGGAGCACAGGGCTGGGCAAAGCCTCCCCCCTCCTCCCAGAGCTGAAGATCACTGTGTGCAGCCTCTAAAAGCATGTGACAATATTTTAGGAACCGCACAGGATGTGAGTCCTCAATCAGTAGGGAAGGAGAAATCCGGGATGGGCACACAGAGGGCCCTGCACTGCAGCCAGCCCTGCAGGACTGAGGTTTGGGGTGGGAATTCCCATGTTTGGGGCTCTCTGAGCAGCCCCCAAAACGCACCAACTTGTAGTTGCGCTCAGCTATGGAGCCAGGTGGAAGTTGCTTCACATCTCTCCCTCAGCCGGAGATCAAGGAGCTGAATGTGGGGACGAATCAAAAGCATGCTTCCCTTTCCCCTCTGCTCCCACTCACGGAGCACAAAGGCTCCTTTCTCAGGAGCTGCTCAGACCTCGTCAGCACTGGCTCTCCTATGTTTATAAGGGACCCAGGCTGGCAGGGAATTGGTTTAATTATGCAGCCCTACATCTCATCACGGGGGAGGGAAACACTGCAGACCTCCAGTTGCTACTGACCCCCAAAGCTGCACACCCCCAAGAGGGAGAAAGGTCCAACCCCCATCCCATGCAACTGGAATCCATTAACAGTTTATGCTACAGTCCTCCCTCCCACTCCCCAGGGGAAGAACAAGGAGTTCTGGTCATCTCCACAATGCAGATGTAGCAGCTGGCTTTCATTAAACTACTTGATGTTTATAACCACTCGATCAGCATATGTAACCTGGAGGAAAGCGAAGCCTCCCCTAGCAACTCTGAACGCAAAAGTCAGGGGTCTTAAAGCAGAGATGCATTGATTTAGCAAAGACATTTAAATGCCTGATTCTTCAAGTATGAAATCGCTGCCTGCTCATGCACGGCAGTGCTATTGCAGTCTCCATGCAGAAGGTGATATTTAGAGGCTGATTCATCGCTATATTTGTCATCATTTTCACCTGCTGAGAATGAAACAAACCCACTGATATAAACTAGATAAGAACACAAGCCCAACTACAGCTCCCAGGCACATCACCACATGCCTCAAAATACCCAAGTGACAAAAAAAAAAAAAAACACAGCAAAGGACAGAGCAGTTTTTGGGATCAGGAGCCCTGATCACCTCAATGCATAACTGCAGCAAACAGGCTCTTCTCATCCCCCCGCACACGGAGTGGGGCTAACCTTATGATCACATCCTTACCAAACCGTCCAGCTAGTTTTCCTCTGTCCAATATAACAATCAGAGAAGACAACAATTATCTTTGATTTGCACAAGAAGAAACACTTGACAATTATATATTCACCGTGGACAATCCTGTCTGCTGACAGAATTATTTTCTACTGAAGTAGAAAGACACCAATACTACAGAGCCAGAATTCTTAATATTCAAGACCTTCAAGAAAATCGATAGCATAGGACCATCTCAGTGACATTCCACACATCACCATATTTTGATCAGCAGCGTTCTGACCAAAAGAATTTCAGGAAAATGCATTAGTTAGCACACTCAGTGCAGGAACGTAAGGCACAGTCTTGTTTCACAAGTTCAACAATGGAATCCTGGAGGGGCCAAGTGCACTTTACCCAAAGTCAGAAGGAGCCAGAATCTGAGCTGCCCTCAGCTCCACAGCCCCCGTTGCTATACTCAGAAGAGCCACAGCTTATTCAAGTTGCAGAGCTGATCTAGCTACTCACCTCATCGTCCTTATACCAGGAGAGGTTCTCTGCTGTCAGGACAAACCAGTACTCCTTGGAGCCACCCTTCATGATCCCAATGTTGTTGATGGTGAGCCAGCCCTTCCGGATGACCTGTGAGGTTGGAAGCAGTAAGCATTAACTAGGGTCCTAAAAGCTTTAGGTGACAGAGGAAAGAGCAGAGGGTACCCCTACACACAGAATCATATGGAAAGACAAGGAACACCGTGCTCTCTGCTGCTGCCAGAAGAGCTCCCCACTCAACTGACCAGTGAAAACCTTTGCCTCAAAGGGGCTAGGAATAAAAAGGATGCAGGAAGGAACCTGGTTGTGCCTTGTACATTCTGTCAAGAGGAAAGAGACACAGGAAGAACTGCATAGAGTGCCTTGCAAGCAGGCACAACCTACAGAAGCATCAGGTCACAGCAACACACCCAGAAAAAAAAGCATGCCCAGAGAAAAACCAAGTGAGCAGCACACCTTCTGGCACACTGCAGGTGGGGAGCACCTCACCCAGCTCAGGGGTGGGGGGGAAACAGTTCAAGAGAAAGAGATGGGCAAGCAACTCTGATGTAACTGAGTTTTGTGACAAGGAGACATTAAGTATGTGAGAACAAAATGGTGCATCTGGAATTAGTACCCTGGACTTCAGCATACCCATGTATTTGAGTAATTAACAGAGCAATACACGTTCCTATAGGTTAGTCTATAGAGAAGCCAGGCTGTTACTCTCTATGGAACTCCAATTCACCATCTGCCGTTTTAGAGCCTTACACACCAATAACCAAATGCAAGTATGCATCAGCTTAAAGGCATTATCTTCTGTGTCTTGCTGGACCCTTAACACCCAGATACATCTGCGTGCAACGTGTGCACCTCAGTGAATGGGTTGCTTGTTGAAAGTGACCCAGCAAAGAAAAAAAAGCATGCAACTGCACTGTGTATCAGCAAGCTGCACTGTGTGAGCAGCCTACCACAGAGCTGCACAATCCTTCAGCCTGCATCTCTTAGAGTTAGATGTGTGAGTACCGGATCTTCACCTCACTGCCACTGTTAGAACTGGAGACAGTCCTATTCTCTCAGCGGACAGGAGGGGGCAGTGAAACAGAACCCGGATCCCTGGATCGCTGCTTTTCATCTCCACCCACTTGCAGATGTACCAGCAGCTCCAAGAATTTCCTTAGCACGCAGCACCTTTATACCTTGTTTCTGCTTCACGTGGGCCTACTGCCAGCTGCACTCCTCTCCCCTTCAGCAGCAGAGGAACTAATTTTCCTATACACTGTTCTCACCTTCCCAGATGCAACATTGATGTTCATTAGCACACCCTACTGAGCGGCCTTCTACTCACCAGGATCTCATCCTGCAAAGGGGAACCATAGCAACAGCAGCAGAGCAGAGAGCAGGAGAGGAGCAAAGAGAGGAGAAATTATTACTAGGAAAGCTGGAGCAGGAGAAGTGAGGCT